TTCTTCTGGGGCCATGGTGTCCAGCACCATTTAGGAGAAAACAAACTGTGATAATGTTGATGACACAAAGACAAACCAAATATTGGCCTACAGTAAAAACAATTAAAAGTAACAACTATGCCACCATTGACAATAACAAAGAAATTGCCACTAATAATAGAATCAAAGACAAACTGGATATTGACATATTGTAATAAAAGCTAAACTATGCTATTCTTAACAATAGAAAAGAGATCTGGAATATAGCACAAAGATAACCCAAATATTGTTATATAGTATGTATCTACTGAGTGCAACAGCTATACCACATTAACAATAAAAAGGGGGCTGGGGATTTAGCTCAGCGGCAAAAGCGCCTGCCTGGCATGCGCAAGGTCGTGAGTTTGGTTCCTGGTACCGGAGAAAAACAAAACAAAAACAAAAACAAAAAAAAACCAAAAAAAAAAACAAACAATAAAAAAGAATTCAGCATTAATAGCATAGAGCCAACTAAATGGCTAAAAGTTAATAATAATAATAATAATAGAGGTGTTGGAGAAAGGAAAAAATGAAAGGTAAAATTTCAAAAAGAAAGAAAAGGAAGATGAGGAGGAGAAGGAGAAGTGAAATAAATAATTGAAGAATAAAAAATAAAACTAGAAAAAGGTAATAGAAAAAGAAATAAAAATAAGAAAATAAAATGAAACAAAGCAAAAGGGGACAAACAAGCAAACACCACCAAAAATACAAATGAAGAGAAATGAGTCAAAGAAATCCTCATGTGTTTGGATGAGTGGTTTCTTTCCAGGGACTATAGTATTGGAATCTACCAGATAGGGTGTCTTAGTTGCTTTTCTCTCATTGCTGAGAGAAAATACCCAATGCCCAAAATTAAGGAAGGAAAGATTTATTTAGCTCACAGTTTATGGAGGTTTCAGTCCATACTTGGCTGGCTCCAAGGCAGGGTGGCACATGGCAGAGGGCAACAGTTCATGGCGGCAGAAGACAGCAAAGCAACAAGAACAAAAGGGAGGAGTGGCAGCAAGCAGCCTGTTTCTCTCCCTTGCATATGCAAAACTATCTGCCCCAGGGCTGGTGTAGCACTCACACCCATAATCCCAGCATTGGACTATGGATCAATCATATATCTAGAAGCCCACCCCATGACTGCATGAGGATTTGGGGGGACATGCAAACACAAACCATAACATAGGGATACTGAGTCACAATTAGGATATATTTTGTTTCTGCTGTATCACCATTAACAATAGAAAAGAATTCAGCAATAATAGCATAGAGCCAACTAAACAGCTAAAAATTAATAAAGCTTAATGTTATTATCATTAATTTTTATGGGAATACTGAGTCTTGTCTGCCTGAGGGTTATATTAATTCCAGTGATTTTTAGTATCTGTGCCCTTCTGTATGCCCCAAATCACTGCAATCCCTTCCTAGCTTTATGGCTTATGCACATGTGAGGTGCCTCCTCAACTCTAGTCTAGAGGCTCCACCTTGATATGTGGCCACCATTTGAACCAAGTTGTATCCTTGATCGCTTTGGCAGATGGGGAAAACAAACAAACCACCGAGCTCTGTGCTGGAAGTAGGCAACGAGAGGGCTCAAGCAGTCTGCTGCACTTAATGCCAGATCTTTTGTTACAGAAAACAGATGGAACATGGCAAGAGATAGCATGGAGAAGGTTTAGGAGGCAGTTTACTTACACCAGTGAGTCTGACTGGGATCTCTCCCAAAGAGCTAGCACCTCGCCCAGTGGGACTTTGGAACTTTTAAAGGGAGAGCAAGCGGAGAGGTACAAAGACAGATTTGGCACGTTGTGATGAGTTGCTGAGGGAGTTTAAACATCTCAAGTTACATTGCAAGGCCATCAGTTAAACAAGCATGGGTTACACAAAGGAAGAAATGTCCCTTTATCAGACTTTTTGGGACATGTCCATCTGGTTTTGGCGGGCAATCTTGGCAGGGTTTATTTAAAAATTTTCACTTTCTGAGCCAGCCCCCTTGGAAAACCACACAGGACCAACCTGGCTTCTCATCACAGAGGGTGGGACCACTGTCTCCACCAAGCCTGAGCTCACAGATACTTAAACTTCTCAGGGGATCTATGACTAGCCTGCCCACTCTCCACAACTGTCTCGTGTGGCCACTTCCCACCCAGGCACTGTGCTTGGTGACTCCAGAACCCGTAAGTATGATTGTTCTTTGACTTCTGATTCCTGGAGTAGCTCAATCTTAAACAATTAACCCCTTCCCAAAATGGCTTCTGACTATATCACTTCCATATACGAGTGGTGCTGCAGTGGATTTCTTCCCCAGCTCTAGCCTGCCATGTAGAAGGAGTCACCTTTAGAGTAGAACCTCACACTGTATTTGCAGCTTACAGTAGCTGTGGGCTTTTCTTGGTACGAGCAGTGCTCTTGGACTTACGTTGTGCTTACGGAGCCATGTCCCCCACCTCAGGAGCTGTGGTTAGCATTTCAGACTGCATTTTTTCTATTCCCCACTCCCCCAGTTTTCCTGTCAGCTCTTTCTTGATTCCTGGAGTTTTTCTTTTGCTTTTTGCTGAGTTGTTTTCCAGAAGTCTCAGTTCCCAGGCCTGAAGAGGCTGTGATATGCTGTGGGTCCTTACTACACCATCAGAGGTGCAGCCAAAATATAGACTTTGTCTATATAGATAATTTTCTGCAAAACATATGAATTATCTATTTTTGATTATGTACTTTGGTGAATATCTTGAAGTTTGATTAAAATCACTGCTTTTTTGTCTGTAGTCTCAAGCTTGACTTTCTTTAAACATATTGTAGTTGCTATATGGGTTGTATATGAGAAGGTCAATCTCCAGAGGATCTGTTTTCCTTTTTTCTGGTGGTTCCCACAATACCATGTCTCCTTCCATACCTGGTTATCTTTGTGTTCTACTCGCTGTCCTTGCAGAATCACTTACGAAGATTCCTTGGATACCTACAGTAAAATTGCCTTCCTCTAAAAGGAGTATTTGCTGCTACTGGGTTCTTAAGTATATTAGCAATTCGGAAGCATTTTAAATTCAGTTAATAGGTTTAAGTTTCTTTTCTTTCACCATGCAGCATAATTCAAATTTTCCTAACATGTTCTTCTGCAATTCGGATTAAGATTAGTGTTTGCTAGGGGTTAAGGATGTTGGGAGGGAGTGGGTTGGGGCTGCACGAGGGAGTCTGTGTTGGACTGAGAGTTCTGTATCTGGATGGTGGTTGCATGGTACTTACTTGAAGCTGTACATGACAGACATGTAGCTGTGATTAAAAGAACTATGCATGTGTGTGTGTGTGGTGCATAAAAGCATACACACAACACACGCAGTGAGTGCTGTGTAACTGGTAAGATCCTGGTAAGCTCTATAGGTTGTTCCAGTGTTGATTGCATGTTTTTACATTGTGCTCTTGTTACACAAGCTGTTGACACTGGAGGAAGCTGAGTGAGTGGTGCGTAGGGTTTCCCTGTATATTTCTTTGCAACTACTGGTGAATCAATAACTATTTCAAATTGAAAAGTTGAAAAGGGGCTTCTTGGAGCTTTAGTCATACATTGTCTGGGTTGAGAGAATGTTTAAATACCTTGGTTTTAAAGCAAAAGACCTACCACAGGGCTCTTCCATTTTTATTGCGTTTAAAGATTGCATTACTATTAGTGTTCAAGGTTTAGGAAGGGAACATGTATCCATCTAGGCACAAAACAACTGAAGAAGTGCTAAGTGTTGCCTGCAATGTAGGAACCAGCCCAGAGAAGACTGGAGTGTGGAGGCAGAAAATCTGGATTTCAAAGGTACTCAGGTACCAGAAAAGACCTCACCTTGGAGAAATAGAACTGCTATTGCTCAGTGTTTTTGTATGAAGATTAGAGAAGGAATGGTAACAAAACTGTTAAGTGTTAAACCTCAAGGATTATGGGATACAAGTTATTACGTTTTTAAGAATTTTGATTAGTATGTATTTGTAATACTCAACTATGACAAATTGTGCTGCTATAAACATGGGTACACATATACTGCTGTAGTATGATGTTTTCAATTCTTCTGGAAAAATACCCAGAAGAGGAATAGCTGAGTAGAATGGGACCTCTAATCCTAACTTTTTGAGGAATCTCTACACTGATTTCCACAGTGGTTGTACTAGTCTACACTCCCATCAACAGTAGAGAACGGTTCCTTTCTCCCCACAGCCCTGCCAGCATTTGTTATTGGTTGCACAGAACTTTTTTTTTTTTTTTTTTTTCCCTCCGGTACCTGGAACCAAACTCATGACCTTGCGCTTGCCAGGCAGGCGCTTTTGCCGCTGAGCTAAATCCCCAGCCCCATTTGTTATTGGTTGATTTCTTGATGATAGCCATTCTTTCTGGGGTGAGACAATCCAAATGCCCATCAACTGAGGAATGGATAAAAAAGAAGTGGTATTTTTATACAATGGAGTGTTATTCAGCTATAAAGAAAGATAAACTACCTTTATAGGTAAATGGATGCAACTAGAGACTATACTCATAAGTGAAATAAATCAGACCCGCAAGTGTAAACATCGTATTGTCTTCCTAGTGTAAGAAACTGAAAGAGTAAACAAAATCCAAAAAGTACAATAGGTATTGTGAAAGGGAAAGAAACTGCTGAAAAGGAAAGAACAACTGGGATGAGAGAAGGGAGAAAAGAAAGAAGGAAGGAGAATATATACATATATACATAAACGCAAAAGATAACTAAGATAATTGTACTACTGATTTCTGTTGGTTTATTGAAAGGAACAGTTGATGCTTAATTTTTTTTTTACCAATCTTGCATGCTTATATTTGGTAATCTGAACAACTACTTTGAAGATAACGATATGCAATATCACAACCATTGTTGGTATCCTAAAAAAGTACTAAAGAGTTGCCTTTGTTTTGGGGAATTCAAGTTGTTAGTTTTTTTATAGTAAGTATGCTTCTACTTGAAAAATGTATAGAAATGATTTTTCACTTAAAACATTTTATATTACAGGAAATAAATATTAATATGGAGAATGATTTCAACTCTGAGTCATCATCATCACCCTTTACTCTTCAGAGTTCTTCAGAGACGATTTTTTCTATTCAGCTGTTAGATTTCAAAGCAAGTTTACTGGAAGCATTAGAAGAATTGCGTATGAGAAGGGTGAGCTCTTTTTTGAATTTTAAAATTAGAGAACTTGATTTTTTCTAGCTTTTTTGCTTTGTTTTTCAAGGGAAAAAAGTCTAACAAAATAATCCCTGATTTAGAAAGAAAATGTGCAGCCCAGAAAATGAAGTAAAAGACTGTAGGACAGATTAAGGCTGATGCTTAGCTATATATATAGTGACACATGCCTTCAGTCGCAGCATCTTGGAGTCTGAGGTAGGAGGATTGCAAATTCGAGCTTAGCCTGGGCAACCTAGTGACTTAGTGAGATTCTGTCTCAAAGAAGTAAAGAGGGTTGGGGATGTAGTTCAATACAAAGGCCTCAGGTTCATTCTCCATTACCACACACACACACACACACACACACACACACACACACACACTGATGATCAGGAAATGGGAAATAAGAAAATTTGGAAACTAAACAAAATAATAGAGATTTTCAAATTGTTAAATACTTGATGATCAGTTACTATTTATTGGGTCTCTGGAAATGCATGGATAGCACTACGGTTAGACACCAAGGCTGATCTTGGGAGATTATATTTTTGTGAAGTTTGTAAGCTGGGCACCTAAAAAATGATTAAATAATGAAAAAAAGCAGCGCATGAGTAAGTGAGGCAATAAATGTGTGTATTAAATATTCTGAGCACAGAGAATCAAATGTCCTCATTTTTAAGTGATAATGCAGGTTTTTTAAAAGGAGCTATCTAGTGTAAAATTGTAAGAGATTCTGGTTTCAGCAGATTTGTGTTGCACAAATCCCCTAATAAAACGTATTTAATTTCTGAGCTTGCATTGATCTAACTTTGAAAGGCACTTGTTAATTCTGTGTAGTATAGATTGGAGCTGGTGTAGGACAGAAGGGAATAAACAGTAAAACTGTTGCAGCATTGCTGTAAAGCTGAGGTGAGTGGGACTTACACAGGATTGGGAAGACAGAACAAAAGAGGCAGAAAGAAGAATTGATAGAATTTGGCAGCTTCCTCAAAATAAACTACAAGTGTGAGAAAAATACCTGAAACAAATATTTTTATTATAGGTGAACTTTGCTCTGGGATTTAAAATGATTAAAATTTATTGGTATAATCAGAAAATTGAATAATACAGTGTTCATCCGATATAAAGCTCCTTGTTAGTATAACAAAAATCTGTTTAAAGAATAAATTCTGCTGCAACAGTGTATCTTGGATAAGCATTATAAAGAAATATTTTTACAGAATTAACTTAAAATGTCACTTTTATTGAGTGAAACAGCTTAGGCCAATATCTAAAACGTATATTCTGTTGTTGTTAGTTGCAGTACTGGGGGTTGAATTCCGGACCTTTACACTGAGCTACATCCATAGCCCTTTGAATTCATTTATTTTTTATTTTGAGGCAGGATCTTGTCAAGTTGCCTAGACTAGGCTAAAAATTGGGATTCTTCTGCCTCAGCCTCTCAGAGTGCTGGGATTACAGGTGTGTGTACCATACCTGGCTATATTCTGTTTTTTTTTGTGTTTTATACATTCTGTTTTGGTTTGTTTATATTTTTAACTTGAAAAGTGTGTTTCTTTTTAAAAATCTTCTGAAAAATTTAGGATTAGCAAAGGAATAGTGGCTTTTTGTCTGTTTTTATTTAAAAAATTATTCCCCAAAACGTCATTTTATTTAGCTTTTTTACCATAGCTTATGCTGTCAACACCCTCACGAAGATTTTCTGCTCCTTAAGGAAAGCATACTTGATCTTATTGCAGAAGCATTTAGCACACATAGGACTCCTACTGACAAGCTTTTCCTTTTTTTCTTTAAGAATTCAATTAACTATTCATTGAATAAGTGCAGAATAAGTGATCTGAGGGGTATTTTAATCTGAAAATATAATAATGTCAACTATTTAGAGAGCTGTCACACAAAGAATGAAGACTTGTTCAACATTTCTTCAAAAGGTAAATCTTGAAACAAAGGGAAATAGAGGCAGCCATTAGGCTGCAGGAGAGCTGTACAAAGTAAATGACTTATCCCCACATAATGCATTCCACACTTAACTTGTCTCTTTGTCTGCAGTTGTTTTTTTTTTTTTTTTTTTTGGTAGCAGGGATTGAACTTATGACCTCATACTTGCCAGGCAGGTGCTTATGCCACTGAGCTGTATCCTCACCCTGTCCCTTTGTCTGAAAGGAGATGCTGGAACTTAGCATTTCTTGTGATAATTCTAAGTCGCACTTTCCTAGCAAGCTGTCCTCTGCTAGCAATGGATATACTCATACTATTGGAAAAACATGTAACATCAACAAGCTAGTTTACTCAGGAAACGTCTATTTGTTCCTCAGTTACATTTTAGTATTTTCCTTTAGTGATTCTTGGGAGGCAGGAATAAAACAGAGCATGTGGACAAACCAACACAGAAGGTGTGTGTGCTACAGGAAATCTTTCTCTAGCATAATAGTGTGGGGCCATACAAATGAGCCCATATGCTAAGACCAGCAAAGTGATCTTAAAATCAATGGTAAAATCCCAGCTGCTTGGCACTCACAGATTCAGGAGGATCTCAAGTTCAAGGCCAACCTGGTCAACTTAGTGAGACCTTGATTTAAGGGTTTTTAAAAAAGGGACGGGTATAGTTCAGTAATATAACAGCCCTGAGTTCAATCTCTAGCACTGAAAAAAAATCAATGGTAAAAGTTATGGTCTGTTCTGTGACTCTTAAAAATGTTTGTGAAAACATTTATGTAGTGTTTTCAGTTTTAACAGGAAGTAAAAAAGCATAAAGTATTTAGTCCACTAAATAAACAATAAATATAATTTAGAACATTTGAAATGCTAAGAAATAAAGTTTTTTGGTAAAATTTATGTGAAGCTAGTTGAAGCACTGCCTGCATTACTCTTGCTGTGTACCTTAGGGATAGAGTGAGCACATTCCCCTGCCTTTGCTGATGATAATATTCCTGTCCAGGACTGGATTGGCTTCCTGTGTTTTGTCCTTTGTACTTTCAGCTTTGTGAAGTATCTTTGAGAGTTTCTTCAGTATCGTGACTTTGCTGTTACTCTAATTTTTGCAACTCTTCTGTAAATAAAAAAATTATTTCAAAATAAGAAATTTTATGAAATTAGGGCTGGAGACAGTGACAACTCAAAAACTACTATAATATAAATTCAATATGACTGCTTTTCTGTTTTCTTTTCCTATTTTTTCTTTTCCATTTTTTATTCAATTAGATTTTATTGGTACATTTTAGATATACATAATGATCACATTCTTCATAGAGAATTTGTACCTGTACATGATATAACTTGATTCTTTTTTTCCTATTGCCCTACCCTTCCTTCAACTTCTCCTCCCCTCCTCATTTACAAAAGCTTTGTTTCCATTTTTTCCCTTTTTATCACTTTTTCTTACTTTTCCCTTCTTTTCTCCTCCTTCCTCCCTTGTTCCCCTCCCCATTTGAACATTTTCTTCCTATTTCACAGTAGGAAGATAATATCCATATACAAAATACACATTTTAGTCTTGATTTACACTTTTGGTTTCTCACAGCAGAGAAACAAAGTGGTATTTACACATGTGTCCAATTTATTTCACTGAACAGTATGGTCTCAAGGTGCATCCATTTACCTAGGAATGTCTCAAGCTTACCCTTCTTTATGGCAGAATAGTACTTCATTATATAAAAAAAAACAACACATCTTTTTTATCCATTCCTCAGTTGATGGGCATTTGGGCTGTTTCCAAGACTTGGCTATTACAAACTGAGCTGCTATAAACATGGGAGTTTATGTATTGCTGTGATATGATGCTTTTAATTCTTTTGGGAAGATACCCAGATGGGGAATAGCTGGGTCAAATGGGACCTCTAGTCCTAGTTTTTTTGAGGGAATCTCCACACTGATTTCCATGGTGGTTGCACCAGTCTACACTCCCACCAACAGTGCAGAAGGGTTCCTTTTTCCTGGCAGCCCCTCTGGCATTTGTTATTGGTTGATTTCTTGATAATAGCCATTCTTTCTGGGATGGGAGTCTCAGTGTTGTTTTAATTTGCATCTCTCAAAAGACCAGGGATGTTGAACATTTTTTCATATATTTATTTGGTGCTTGTACTTCTTCATCTGAGAAGGATGTATTCATCTCAGGTGCCTGTTTTTGGATTAGGTCTTTAAATTTGGTGGGTTAAATTTTTTGGAGTTTTTTACATGTTCTCCATAGTAATCCTTTGCCTGAAAGCAGCTGGCAACCATTTTTTCCCACACTTTGGGTTGTCTCTTCACTCTGTTGGTGGTTTCTTTCGCTGTGCAAAAGTTTTTTTAAGAAGATGAGGTCCAAGTTGTTGATTCTTTGTGATAGTTCCTGCTTTTTTAAAGAGAGTTTAAGCAAGCAAACTATATTTGATCATTCCACATTTCTTGAGTACTCCTGCCAGTACTGGATATTATCGGACCACATAACAGCAATGGTGTGCACAGACCTGTGAGGCTGTGGCTAGGAGCGGCAGTGAGGAAGTCGGGATGGAGGAATAACTCAGCAAGGGACTCGAGCTAGCTGGACTCTGGGCTCTCCTGTCTCAGGGTTTCTCAGCTGCATTAATCTTTTCAAGAAATTACACTTTAGTTTTGTTGATACTCTTCATTGTTTAGGTTTTGTTAATACCTATTCTTTGTTATTTCCTTCATTTATTGTATTAAATTTGCTATTCTTTTTGTTTTGAAGCTGTGGAAATGGATATTTAATTCATTAACTTTCTCATGTAAGACTATACATTTCTCTGTTAGCCTGGCTTTAGCTGGATCCAAATTTGTATGTATTTTGTCTTTTAAATTATTACAGGGTTCAAATTACTTTCCAGTTTTCACTGTACTTTCCTCTCTGACACATAGGTGTGTGTATATGTACTGCTTCTTTTAAACATGTTTGAGCTCAGGAGGCTGAGCTGGGCAGATCACTTGATTCTATAAGTTTGAGACCAGCCTGGGCAATAGAGTGGGACCCTGTCAAAAACAACAACAAAACAAACAAAAAT